TATGGCGACACAGAACCTCTTGTGAAAAGTACTTATTTAAAAGCAGAAGAAAGGAAAGGCGATTATTAATCGATCGATGTACCTTGTTTTCGATAATCGTACGATTTTTCTTTTCTTTGTTAAGCCTTCTCGTTGACGATTTCTTAGATGTGTATAAGCACGATCTCCTTTACATTTTTCTCCGTTTCAGCCGACTGAACGAAATGAATTCTCGCTGTAAATGTAGCATAAACGTAGCAGAACGAACGTCTGTTTTTTTTTGTTTTTTTTTTTTTTACTCACGTAAGCTTCTACTTTCATAGTTTTTAATACTCTTATGTAGCATACGATCACACTATAATGTAGCGTGGCAATAAACGTGGATATTTTATCGTTCGATTCTTGATCTTTGAATACACTTTTGCGTAAGCGATAACATTATGGAATTTAGGTAACGAGTGTAAAGAACGATGAGGGAGAGTAACTAAATTATTATGATTATTGTATCGTACTTAATAGAGACAATTATCAACATTCACATTGGTTCTCCTATATTCCACGACCATTAATCTCATTTCAGCTGATGAAACGTCGAAGATTCGAAGAGTACAAGCATAGAAAGGAAGATCAACAGTTAGATGTATATACAGGGTGTTTAATTTATACAGGGTAAACAAGCAGGGTGCTTGTTTACTTGCATATCTTCTTAATGTTTTATAGTACAAAAAGATATTGTTTATTTGAATCATGTTATGGTTGGTAATTTTAACTCTCAAGACTCATTTTTCGAAACACCGTGTATAATTAAAAGTACGTCGTTATTATACTATAAATAACATATTATCGAAAAATACGATTATTTACCAGGACGAAATGAAATCGAACGCAACGGTGGCTTATTCGTTCTTTTTATTAAATATATATAAAAAATATGTGTATAAGTTACAATATTATGTGTAAAGCTGAAATCATACACGGTGAGTAACATCGAATTTCGATTCGGAGTGTCGATAGAAAAACGTTTAAACGTTGTTAGTATACCCCCACCCTAACCCCATTTTACATTTCCCCTTCCTATACCATTACATCAGAACGAAATTTCTCCATAACTATGTTTGCAAGTTAATCACGATAAATCAGTGCCTTCGTTATTAGGGGAAGAAAGAGAGAGAGAAAGAGAGAGAAGATTAATATGTAGTGAAACTCCTTCAAACAGGAACAATTGTTTGAAATATTTCCATTGCTTTGGACCATATTATTAATTAGTGTTTATAGTTTATACCCTCATATTAATCGTGTGTGTTTTTTTCTTCTTCGTCCATTTGTTTTTTGCGGTTAAACATGCATATTAAAAATGACACATATAACTTATCGAAATAGTAACATAACGTCTCGAACATTCTGCAATTTGCCTATAATGTGTTCGGTAACTAAGTGTACTGGGTGATTCACAAAAATCGGGACATTCAAATTACTATTTTAAACTTGAAGATAAAACAGTATTTCTGATTATAAAAATTCTGATATAACAAAAATTGTTAAAGTCGAAGAACCCAGACTTTTTTTTATCAGATTTGTACATTTATAAAAATAAACGTTGCTAAACCAGGACGACACTATTTCTAGATTTCCATAAGTTTTGTATTTATCTCGTTCTTTAAATATTATGGTTGGGAATAAAATGAATTTAATTTTGTTTCATAACGTAACCTTGAAAATTGTCAAATTGAGTTGAGAAAATAGCAACGCTAAATCTGTCTTAACGCGAAAAAATATCAATGTCTTTGAAAATCTTGACGAAATAAAAGAAAAATGAGTGGACGCGTCACCTTTGCCTTATGAAACCATATAAATTTCAAATTTTTCTTAACTATCAAGTCTAGAGAAATTATTTGTGTGCTCCATTTTTTGGTGAGTCACCCTGTAGATCGTAGGTATGTACACATGTACAAATTTATATTGCTGTTTGCAAATTTAACCGGTTACACACAGTCCTGTGTACAAATTACTCGAGTTATGTCACACTGTCTTATACACGCACACACACGTTCAGTTTCACCTTTATTCTCGAAAGAACAGTGTCACCACTCTCCTTTTTGTTTCTTTACGTTTTGTAGTAAAGTATAGTGTACAACTGTTAGGTGGGACAAACATGAGCGAGTCGGTAACGTCGGGTGCCGCTTAACTCTTACAAATTTCATAGATGTCCGATTACAGGCGTAAGTTTGTGCAATATGTATATGTTATATTGTTCGTTCGTTCACTTATACTAGAGAGTTCGTTAAATACGATTTTGTATCAGTGAGGAAGCGCGGAGAATTGCAACGTGTATATATAATATGTTTATTATTAAATTGGACAGATATTGCAGTCTTGTTTATAGTGGTTTGCTATGAAACGTATACTCTCGTTTTTTTTTTCGTCTCTCTCGTTCAAATGCCAAGTGATCTGTTTTTTGTACAAATAGTGAGTTTTTTGTTCCGTACAAATCGACAACAATTTCACTCAAAGAATCTTATATATAAAGATTACATATATATTATGAACTGTACACTTTTTAATTATTAACAAACGATTCTTATATACAGTGATCTAATTCATTTTCACGTGCCTCCCATTGTTTTCGCGTCAACGCGTGCTTCTCTGCGCTATGTACAATTGAGACGTAACTTACACATGTAAATGGCAGCTTTACAAGTCATGTATAAAATTCTGTACAGACATCTGTGCATTTACTGTTCAAACGTATACACATAGCCATTTCTTGCAAATTATTAAAAATATAAAGAGGTTATTGGGGTTTCATTTGTAAACAATAATATTGAACTTGAATATGCTGTATAAGATTATTATTTGCAGAGATTTAATATCCATATTTTCTATAGATATATATTACCAATACTTAAACCTTTCCTCAAACCATCAGTTCACAAGAGTGATTATACCTCACATTGCTATCAAAAGTACACTTTATTTACTTCTTTAACAGATCTTGCAACTCATAACGAGTTTTAGTGAAAAGATGTGCATTTAACACTTTGATTTCTGCAAGTAATACACCCATAAAATCTTCAAATCCAGTATTATATTTTATCAATTGCACATTTTTACTCCAAATCATATAACTCTTTCATATTTTCAATAATTTGAGAAAGAATTGTCTGTACATGCTCAAACATTATTCACGTGACAATACACGTGAATAAATTAGACGCGCAGGTCGTCACGTTACCCTGAATGGATTATTTGTAACCTACGGTGTTCCTGGTGTGTACACACGAATATTTACTGCCAACCGTTCGTAATATTCGCGACAGTGAACAGGAAGAAACGGCAGTCGTACTTCAACTTCTCGAACGACTGCACGTTAGCTATTATAGTGTTCAATGACATTCTGGCTTTGTGATAAAGTATGTGAATTCGCGACGCTAGAACAATTACACGTTCAACTGTGACAATGTACGTATGTTAAATAGTATTTTTTTTAAGACACATTGTGCATACAGTGTAAGGTACATTAGGAATGATTACCTTCTCGATAAATGCACTGAAATATTAATTTCGGGAATGTGACATACGACAAAGAGTAAAATGAAATAATCTTCATACAATACAATATGATCTAAGTAAGTCTTTTTAGAATTAGTTCCATTTGCTTTTTCATTATAATTTTCCTTCGTTTACGACACTCGTTTTTTATCAAGTACTTGATTCGTTATGCTAATAAAATACAAATATTGCTGTTACAAATGCATCCATTCAGTATAGTCTATAAAAGTAAGAATCTATCTAGAAGTTTTTGTAATAATTTGTTTTAAATTATCCGACCTATTCTAATTTGTTTCCCCGAACGTATACCATGATAAAATGAATGCATTAATTCTCACTATATAAAATGAGAATAAAATTTATATTCCCTATATCTCGATAAAAATGAGCACAATTAATAATTTATATATACACATGAAATGAGTGTACATTTGACGAGATCAATGATGATTTGTTAAATTATATATAGGTAACAAAAATTCCTTTTACGATCACTGTTTACTTTTATAGACATTTAACGATTAATATCGGGATAAATCCAGCTACGAAAATTAAATTAAATTAAAAAAAAATTTTAACGATATTGAACACGATTTTTGTTAATGTGAAAATTAGTATGCAGAAAATAGTCATGCCTTTCCATATTTTAAATAACCTTACCCTTTTTTATGAATTAAAACTTATAGATCTACAGTGTTCTTATATGTCATTCATCCCATAAACAATTCTGCTTCATTTTAGTATAGTATGAGAATATAAAACACTTTTTACAAGTCTTAATGCCACATTTGTATGGAGTGGCTGCTTTTTTACCATCACCTTTGCCCTTACAAAATTTTAAACCACACGGATACCACCCTATACATAATTCTAATGAGCATGTACAAGGTGCCCACATATTCGATGTATCTGCACACCTTGTCACAAATAATGATCTTGAACCATTTGTACCTTGTTGCGTTAAGGAATTTGTGCTGAAGTTGTACACAGCTGCCATAAGTGAAAGATCAGAGGAGCCTAATAAATTGAGGAATAAAGAAACTTTATTTCTGCTAATAAATCAATTTCAGAGCAAGTGAATTTCACCATCTGCATTAGCTTCACACTATATTTTAAAGAACATAATTTACACATTAATTTATTTATTAGTACAACTTACCTGGCCTTTGAATCCATTGTTTTATATCTTCATTCCTAGTGTAAGCAGATCCAGCTGCCTCTCCACAAAGGGTTGCAATATGTTTAGAAATATCTTTGGATTCTGATACATCCAAATATAAATCCATAGTATAATTTACGTGACCTTTATCTTCTTCTGCCACACGCACTGTGCCTGGATTTTTTTGTCTCAACTTAGACATTGCATCAGAGGATATGAAGTCCACTTTGAAAAAGTGATTAACAAAACACAAAACTTGATATTGATTTTGACCACGTTCTTCCTCACCAAGAACTAAAGCTTTTATAATTTGTACTTCCTACAAGAAAAATTTTATCACTCTTCATGTAATATACAAGAAAAATATTCAATTAAAAAATGATGAATTACATTTTTGAAGTCAATAAGTTGTGTCACCAGGGTACCATCTGAACACTGAAATTCTAAGGTAATCACATCTTCTGTAACATTAGAAGAAATTGTTTCCAACAGAATATCACCACCCTGCGAAACAAAAACAAACAAATTACGCACAGTAGTTTACACCGGATCCACTTTTTTCGTTGAACTTCCTGTTCGTTGAGGTTATCACGATGAATTGTTAAACGTTGAAGTACGTCGAAATAATTCTCAACAAAAATCACATATGCAAATGTATTTTTCCATATTTCAGTCAATAATTAACGACAAAAACTTCGTACCTGATTTTTGACATTTATGAGCAAGTGAGTTGTACAAACACTGTACAAATAGTGCAGCAAAAAACAGATTATGAATAATTCGTTGAGTTTCTTCATTGTCGCATGTTGCAACTACATTCGTCACAATATTAAACACTATTGCAATTAACTGTGATGAATCGACATTTATTAGAAAGATAAATACTTTAAATATAACCTAATCGTAAGAACCTCCTACTCCATGCATTCCGTCACAGTCGAACCATACATTCATGCCGTACTATCATCGAATACAAACTAGTTAGAACAGTGTATAAATCACGATTAGTATGATTCATTAAATTTTTGAATCGTAATCGATCTTTTTTATTCTTGTAAAAATAGGATAGCTTGATAAAACAAAAAGTTTAATTGAAAGTTATCTTAAAAAATCACTTTGCACAACAGAGAATATTGTAGTTAAAAATGTAAATTATAAAACAAGATAGCGTTGTATTGAAGATAGCGAGTTGAAATTAAATAATTGTTGAATATCATAATTATACAAAATTATCTTTATTTTTCAGTCAAAATATTTTACATGTTTACTTTCGTAATTAAAAGCTAAGTTGTATAACAAAGATAGTGTAAAAGTGTTTCTTATACAAATGCCTGAAGGAGTATAACTTATTTATTAAATATGTTAACGAAGCAGTAACCTAATTTGTTATTCTATTTTCAAATTTCTTTCACTTTCCCGGGATTTCAACGTGACAAAAGATCTCCCTTTATTCGTTCTACCGGTTGACGGTGACACTTTGGAAGATTGACAAGATTCAGTATCATCCCTGTAACTTCAAAGAATATTTCATACACTTCACTTTCTCCTAATTCAGAATATTTCTTTATTAGAATTTCAACAAAATTATTTTTCACTATTTACTTACTGATATTTTAATCGCAACTCAGACAATAAAGGTGGAGTCGAGGTTCTTTTAATGGGTTTTAAATCATACATTTTTAGATGTGTGTAAACAGGAATCTAAAAATGCAATACCTGAAGAAACTTTACACAAGAAATATTTCCTTAATAAATTCAACCACTAAAAATTACATCTAAATCTACAAACAATTGAAATAAAAGAAGAACAATTTTTCATTTTCCTCATATTCGTCCTTTCGCTAAGATTTAAATGTGCCCGCCCTAAGAAGCGAACCATAGACTACCGAGTTATGAATAAAGGCATACTCACGTAAGGGAGCGACGTATCGAGTACGGTTGGTTCAATATACTTTGTCGGTATATCCGGAACTCGATAAGAACTGCCCAATATAGGCGGCTTTAAGCCATTTCCATAAATCAATGCAGACGATACTTCGTTGCGGGTGTCGTTTAAATCCGACACATTTGGATCGTTCGACCACTGGTCGTTCTTGTCGATCGTTTCCGTGTTTTCCATCACGATAAGCAGGCTCTGCCAACCGTCAGGGGTGGTAAAGTTTTAAGGCGCAACCAGGCCGAACTACTTTCGCAGAAATAAAGCTGGAGACCTACTCGATGTCGAGCACTAGCCTCTAGATAATGATTCGAGGATGCTCTTCACCGTTACGCCCGGCGAAGTGTTCACAAACTGAAGTTTCGCGAGTCGATATTTGGTCGATAAGTTCCACTCTGTTGAGCAGCCGACACCATGGAGCTGCTGTTCTCCCTCTCTTCAAACTTGATTCGTTTCATTTTTGTAATTAACTTGATTTTATTTACTTTTTTCCCCTTTTGAAATATTTAACGATTGTATACCAGTATTTTCATTATTCTTTAATTTTTCTCAGATTCACGGTAATTCGACAATTACGTACTTTTACATGGAGAAAAAGAAGAAAATTTAAGTGAAATTTAATTGAATCGTTACATGGTGCAAGAAACTTAATTACCAGTTACACATCTCCTGAGTTTGCTTGTTAAACGAAGCTTTGTACACCGTAAAATTTAACTGAGATAATTTAATATACTCGAAGAAAGTTATGTTAATCGGGCGAGGAGTTATAATTTTATTACCGTAATGTAAGGTATAATTTATTTTAATTACATTCTTTGTGTTTTCCCCGCATTTTTTACGGTAGATAATTAATTGCTCAGGAATTACATTTCATATTTTACTGACGTAACTTTTTTTTCTCTTTCACGAAATGTTGGTTAACGTTTGACGCGAGTAAATAAAGGCACGCATGTGTGGTACTTCTTTTTTGCGTTCATTTCGATGATGGAAGTGCATATGTACGACCTCAGGTAAAATGAATAAAAAAGAAAAAGAAAGCAAAACTACATAAAATTTCTATTGCGCTTTGAACTTTGAAGCGGAAAGACTGCAAAATAAAACAACATACAAACAACAGTGTCGCGCTTTTATAACTTCGAAGCATAAGGGATAAAGATGAAAGAAAAGGACAGGATTATTAATGCTTGTGCGACTTTGTGACGTAGGTGACAAAGAGTAAATGAGCAGCAACATTGAGCTGTTGTTTTATTAGAAATCGTCACGAATGTATCCATTGTAGAATCAATGAAATTCTATTAGGTTATGCCACGTGAAAGTCAGAATAACTGATAATCAACTGAGATTAATATACTCTACGTAACGTATGTATATTTTAATTAGGTTAGGTTAGGTTACTCTACGTAACTTATATTTTTATTAGGTTATACCACCTGAACTTATCGATGTCAGAATAACTGACAATCAACCGTGATTAATAAATTTTACATAACTAATATTCTCACTTGTACTATATAGAAGTTATTCCGGTGCTGAACTTCTCTGTTCCTTTTCTTTATTGAATTGCTTTTCATGGTTCGCTGTTTTACGTAACTAAACAATATAACGTCTTCCAAGGAATTTGGAACACTTTTACTGTACGGAATTAAACTAGGCCACAATACAGCTGCATCATGCCAAAATACATGAAGAATTGATCCTATTAAAAAGACGCTATTTTCCATAGAAATGGAATATATCAATCGGTACCTTTTGTTGGGAAAAGAGCTATTAATACCAATGATGAATAAAGACAATTGTTTTCGAAAATACATCATTGTTATTTCAACCTACAAAAACAGCAATTTCACGTGGTACAACCTTACAATAGAGCGTCTTACGTATTTAACAATAATATTGCTTCCGACACGTTTAAGATTCATCAATTTATTCAAGAATGAGAGCGTGCACGTGTTCTTGCGTACTGTTCAGAAAATGACACCGAATGTACATTATTCCTGGCCACGTCAAAACACGTCAATTATTATTTCCCATTCAGCTGATTATAGAGAAACGTTCCCACCCTTGCGCGATATTATCTTCATCACAGTTACACGCAGAGAAGAGAGGTTCTTGCGGTTTAAATGCCCGTGTTTCCCACTCTATGAATGAGCCAGTCTTAGGAATCGATTTCCTTTTACTACAAACCCGTCGAACATCGGGAATTTTCTATCGGAAGGAGAATTCTCCTGATTCTTCACTCCTTCCGTACCTTTCGTTCTATTGCAATTCCACGAGTACATTTTTAGTGGCGAAACTGCATATTAATATTATAATTTAATTTTATAATATTTCAATGAATTACTCCTTCTGTTAATTGTTTATTCAATGGAACTAATTAGCAGGTTTTTTTTTTACATGTGAATTCGTTAATTATTCTGTTAGTTTCAGATACATTGAATGGTAGTATTATTATAATTTTTTCATAAATCAACAATGAAATAAAGAATATGTACCAGTAATACACAGATAATGGAGAAAAGACTGAAATCTCGCAAGAAACACTTCTTTTGAAGAAATTAAAAAGTTCTTTACTTTTTAAAAGTTCCTAAGAGCCGAGCGGCATTTAATATACAATAATGGCCCGCCGCAAGGGCAAGTTTAAACGGCGCTAGAACACCGCCAAACGACGTTCTAAACTAGATGTCCCGGGAAACTATTGGTGAACATTGAAGTTCACTAAATTTCAGTCATCCACAAGTTCATGCGTCAGTGAAGCAACAAAACAAACAACAGCTCTACCCCGAGCCATTCTAACTTCGTAGGAAACCAAAGAACAGTACCCTCTGTCTACATCTTCTCTCTCTCTTCGTTCTGTCTTGAATAGATATTGGATTACCGGGACCATTTCAACCAAAAACGAGGATATTTGTCCAGTAATCAAGCATGCAGATTGTTCAGATTTGAAATAACCGTAAGAAATGGTAAAATACTTCACTAGTAACGTTCATCTCGTTCTAACTATCCAATTTGCTTCATTGTACTCGAGTTTAACTTGTGAAGGTAGAAAACTTCTACCATTTATTTTTATGAAATTTTGTATTTGCAAAATTAATATTAGGAATCAATTTGCTTCAGTGTACCGAAGTACTTGCAAAGTTAGAAAAGGGTCTAGTCGAACAGGCGTGGTAAAAGTACCCCTAAACCAAATGAAACGTGTGATACGTCAATTGAAAGAGCTTCCTAGGAAGACCATTTAGTGAAAGTTTTAACTCTCTACCCCTATTATTAGGGTAGTTATCCACCTAAACTTCATTTTCATTTCAGATTTGATTTCTTTTGTTCCATCCGACAAAAAGTTATGAGAAAAATCTGTGATACCACAGCCAGAGTGTTACATATCTGAGAATTTTTGCAGATTTTTTAAATGAAAAACCTATTTTTTAAAAATTAAACAACATTTGAAGAACCAATTTTTTATCGAAGTTATCAAATGACTGCATTCACATTTGTACAGTAGAACCTGCCTGTCATGTTTATTAACTCATAATTTTTTCAGATTTTTTGGAAAGCAGCACCATAGTTAAAAAAATTAAAAACCACTATTGTTTACCGTTCCGTGCACGTAAGATTGACGACCTCTAGTGACAGCAAGAGGTGTTTAAATTAAAAAAAAAAAAAATGATTACACTCCTTGAAATTCTACCTACAAAATGAGCCCTTTTCATACCTTTTTGTCGGATAAAACAAGAGATCAAGTTCCAAATGAAAATGACGTTTAGGTCAGTTACTACCCTAATAATGGTGGTAGAGAAGCGGAGAGGCTGGGTAAGTGTGAGATTCCTACCCACTACAACCCCGACGACTACCCTCGTCGATGGAGAGGCTGCAAGAATCATTTTCATACGATTTGGGTTAACGCTTATTCGGCTAAACCCTTTCTACATAGCATTTATTTTTGTGAAATGTATATTTACAAAATCAGTACTAGGAACAATTTACTTCATCGTACCGGAGTACTTGCAAAGCTAGAAAATTTCTACTATTTACTTTTCTGAAGTTTATAGGGGGAGTTCCCCTAGCGCCGGACGCTTAAGGTTTTTCTTAAATAAATCTCTCTACCTGTGCACACGCGACTGAAACGCGTAGAAAACTTATTTTTATTCCTTTTGTCTCCTCTAGATACGCAGAATAACGGCTGGGTAGCGTTTCAATTATTACAAATACAACTAATGTCCAATATTAGGTGCCGTCCGGCGTTAAGGGAACTCCCCCTACTTGCAAAATCAAATATTAAGAATTAAATGGCATTAACTTACTGAATATTCTAATAATAATATTCAATACGTGCAATATTTTTGTTAATGAAATAGAATTGGAATATTCAATTATTTCACTGATTTTCATTCGAATCTCGGTTCAAGTGAAATCTGAGATTATTGAAATTTTATTACATTATCCCTTACTCGGTGTTAATTGGAATTTTACATCAGCTTTCGAACGAAATTCACAGTTATACACTTGAGCATATACAGATTCAACCATCGTCCAAATATTCAATTATACGACTGATCTAGTCTCCCCTAGTGTAAGCTCAGTCGATGGTTCAACCTCGATATAACCCTCTATTCGAACATTCGATCATTTGAAAGCTCCAGACCTCTCACCTTCTTTTCCAACCTACGCTTACTTAAGCCCAGGAGACTCCATCTCCATCCAAATGTTCAATTACTCGAAAACCTTCAGTCTTCAGTCTCGACGTACTCCTCAGACTCTGTATACCAAGTGTTTGCAAAACTAAATCAGTAATCTGCTAATTAGTACAGCACTTGAGGAACTCGGGAGAAGTTGAGGAATGCATGGTCCATTATTTTTCCTACGTGATACAATCTTTTTCATTTTTTTATTTAATGGCAATTTACGAGGAATTTGTTCCTTCATATTTCATATGTAACATAAAATTTGAGAAGAAGAAACAATGACGAAGTATGTTAATTAGGTTGGTTTTACTAATGAGGATATTTCGATGATTTTATTTTCGCGCGTAACTTTTGAATTACACATTTTTGGATTTTTTGAAACATTTCTATTAAATGATAAATATTTAATCATGGTTCTTCAAATTCTTAATATCACTTTTTAATATTAATATTAACATATAAAATTTTTGATTCGTTTTTATACAATCAATAGTGAATAAAATGCAA